ATAGAATGAAAATATTACATGGGAATTTATAATCCAGTCACAGTAAAATGTCATTTCACTGAATATTTATTCAATAACAGTTAAGAAATTACAACAATTTTAAGCATTATTTTATGAAAAGATACTTTGACTTTTAACATTTATGGGATGCTTTTGGGTAGTAGGCATTGGAAAAGAGCTTCCAATCAAAATTTCCTGTCATTGTTTCTCACTCTTAGATTAGAATTACATTCTAAAGAGATATTGTCAGACTCTTAAAAATCTGTTTACTTGCAGATTGCATTTAGAAATAATCTCTTTGGGATGAATATAAATGCAGAGTTTTAATCCTAGCAATATAGAGAGAATGTCTGTTGTTATGACATTTAAATAACAATTTGTAATGTACCTACTAAGCTTTTTATTGTTGTAAAATATACATAAAATTTGTCATAAGTGACATTTAGTACCTTCACCCTGTTGTGTAACCACCACTAATTAGTTCCAGAACATTTTTATCACCCTGAAAGGAAACTCCTTACTCATTAAGCAGTCATTCCCCACTCCCTCTTCCTCTCAGACTCTGGTACCCTCCACAATTTTGCCTATCTTGTATATTTCATATAAATGGAATCATACAATATGTGGTCTTTGTGTCTGGCTTATCTTACTTAACATAATGTTTTCAAGGTTCATCCATGTTGCAGTATGTATCTGTACTTCATTTAAGACTGAAAAGTATTCTATTATATTATGTACCAAAATTTATCGGTTCATTGCTGATGGACATTTGGGTTGTTTTTACCTTTTGGCTACTATGAATGTTGCTATGAATATTTATGTGCAAATTTTCGTTTAAACACCTGTTCTCAGGGTTTCTTATTTTGGTTGGGGGGTGGATATATACCCAGGGGCAGAATTGCTTGGTCACATGGTAATTGTTTAATTTATTGAGGAACCACCAAACTCTTTTCCACTATATCTATACCATTTAACCATCCCACCAACAATGTATGAAGGTTCCAATTTCCCCACATCCTCTCCAATACTTATTTTCTGTTTTTAAAATTATAGTCAACCTAATGGATTTGAAATGGTGTCTAATTATGGTTTTTATTATCCTTCCCTAAAGACTAATGATGTTGAGCATCTCTTCATGTGATTCAGACCTACATTGGAGAAATGTCTATTCAAGTCCTTTGCCCATTTTAAAATAGGTTGCCTATCTTTTTGTTGTTGACTGTAGGAGTTCCTTATATATCCTGGATAGAACCTTATATGATTTGCTAACATTTTCTCACATTCTGTGGGCTGTCTTTTCACTTTCTTGATAGTGTCCTGTGATGCACAGAAGCTTTTAATTTTGATGAAATCCAATTTATCTTTTGTTGCCTTGTGCTTTTGATGTCATATATATGAAACCATTGCCAAATCCAAGGTCATGAAGATTTATGCCTATGTTTTCTTCTTAGAGTTTTATGGTTTTAGCCTTATATTTAAGGTCTTCAACTTATGTTAATACTTATTGTGTCCTATTTCATTCTTTTCCACATGAATATTGTTTCAGCACCATTTGGTGAAGAGACTATTCTTTCTCTATTGAACGGTCTTGGCACACTTGCTGAAAATCAGTTGACCATAGTTTATTTCTGGACTTTCTATTTCATGCTAGATTTTGAAATCAGGAAATGTGAGTCCTTTAGCTTTGTTCTTTTTAAAAGATTGTTTTGACTTACAATCCCATAGGAATTTTAGGATCACCTTTTCCATTTCTGCAATAAATGGCCATTGGGGGTTTGATAGGGATTACATTGAATCTGCAGACTAATTTGGAGACTATTGCCATCTTAACAATAAGTCTTTTAATCCATGAATGTGGGATGTCTTTCCATTTATTTAGAGCGTTATTTCATCAGTGTTTAGTATTCTTCAGTGTGCAAGCCATGAACTTCCTTGGTTAAGTTTATTGCCAAGTATTTAATTCTCTGTGACTACTATAGAATTGTTTTTAAAATTTCCTTCTTGTTTTTTTTTGCCAATTTGTGTATTGATCTTGTATCCTGCAACACTTCTGAATTTATATGCTCTCAAGTTTTGGGGTGTGTGTGTGTGTGTGTGTGTGTGTGTGTATTTGTTAGAATTTTTAAGATACGGGACCACGTCAGCTGCAAATATCGTCGTCTTACTTCTTCCTTTGTAATTGGGATTCCTTTTTTATCTTTTTCATGCCTAATTGTTCTTGCTAGAACTTCTGATGCCATGTTAAGAAGAATTGGTGTTAATGTCTCTTTAAATGTTTGGTAGAATTCACTGGTAAACCCATTTGCTGCTGTACTTTCTTTGTTGGGAGTTCTTCACCACTGATTCAATCTCTTTACTTGATATAGGTCTGTTCAGATTTTTTATGTCTTCTTGAGTCCATTTTGGTAATTTGTGTGTTTCTAGGAATTTGTCCATTTCATCTATATCATCTATTTTTTTTTGGCAATAAAGCCTTTTGACCAATAAATCTGTTTATGGTTCAGTCATCCAAAATACCATGTAATTTATCTATTATTTATAAAATGTGGAGTATATATCGTGTTTTCTTGCATGTACTTTTCTAAATAAAGCAAATTTATATGTAAAATTCCATAAGAGATTTAAACAAAATTTCCCTAGTGAGGGGTATGACTGGTATAAATTGTGATTCTAAAAATCATAATCCTTCATTTTCTTTTTATTAAAATAAATGATTTCTCATTTATTAAAATGAAACCTCTCTCTTTCTACCTAGAGAAAGAAATAAGAGTATGGACTCTCAAGTGCAGAGTATGTGCATTCAAATTTCTTGTCCTACCACTTACTTGCTATAGATGATCTTGGGCTTAACTTCTCTGTGCCCCCGTCTGCTCACTGTAAAAATGAGAATAACGGAACCTACCTCATGAGGTTATTGTGAGGATTAAATGCATTAATGCATGCAGAAAAACTGATTCTTAATTCATAATAAGCATTCAATAATTATTAACAAATATTTTTGCAAGGCATCACTAATCGAGGTTAAAATAAAGAGCACATAGACATCATCATCAATGAACCAGCAAATAAAAGTCAAGGCAGCTACTGCTGGATGATGGATACTAAGAGTCATATTTTCCTCCAGAGTCAGAAGACCCCAGAGGAGCAGAGGAAAGAGTATTTTGGTGAGCATTCTGTCACTAGAAAGAATTGGTTCTCTTTATTCCTATTCAGGAAAGCTGATCCTCTGGACCACAGCTGACCTTTGAACAACACGGGTTTGAACAGTATAAGTCCGCTTATATGAGGATTTTTTTTCGCTATAGTACAATACTGTACATATATTTTCTTTTTCTTGTGATTTTTTTAAATAACATTTTCTTTTCTGTAGCTTACTTTAATCTAGGAATACAGTACCTAATACATACAATATATAAAATACGCGTTAATCAACTGTTTACATTACTGGTAAGGCTTCTGGTCAACAGGAGGCTATCAGTGGTTGCGTTCTGAAGGGGTTAAAAGTTATATGCAGATTTTTGCTGTGCAGAGAGTTGGCATCCCGAAACCCTGTGTTGTTCAAATACCAACTGTACTAAACTGCATAAAAAACAGCCTCTCTCAGGGTAGAAAATCAAAGGCACTCTTTATGAATCCCATAAAGAAAAGGAAGGTCCTCAGAGAGGAGAATCAGGTCTTTTACTCTGACATGAGTCTGGCCTCCACTGTGGGCCATAAGAAGTCAGAGAGTGGGTGGTGAGCGTTCAAAGGAATAATCGCAAGTATAAATCCTTGTGCTTCTACAAGCATAGATTCCTTTCAAATCGCAGGCCTAAGCCTCCCCGAGAAGGTGATATGTGCTAACACGTTTCTGCTTTTGATTTTCGTTTTGTTTTGCTTCTTAAAACTTTCTTCTTTTCCCCTCTCTTCCCCTAAATACATAAATATACCCTAAGGCTGATCCCTCTTTGTCATGAAAAGAATTGAATTTATATCCATAATATAATGAATATAGAAAACTTTAATGTATTTTTCATGATTACCAGTATTTAGTTTGTGGCCACACCAATAAGATGACCATAAGATTTTTTTTGGGAATGGAAGCATTCAGTTTCTTGGTTTCCAAAGAAACATTTCAAGAGCATTCAAAATTGGCTCCCTCCCTCCCCACCCTGCCCCGCCTCAGTAAAAAAAAAAAAAAAAGAGCTTGGTTTAATTTTTAAAAGAAAGCAATTAGAATGAAGTCTACCTTGATATAAAATGTAAAAGCACATTAACCACGGCATTGTATTTTAAAAGATGGTTTATACTCATTTTTATATTAAGACATAAGTTAATGACTTTTATATCTTAAAGGATTTATCATAAAATGTTGCTTCCCAGTGCATTTTTCAGACAATAAACAATTCGCTGAGAGTATTAACATTCACATGTGTAATTGGAGTTTACAAATGTACAAAACTTCAGGTAATAAACACTTTAAACTTATTTTTCAGACATTCAATAAGCCCATTCCCCTCAAACTGTTTGATTACGAAGAAACACGAAGGGTTACTAACTGCAGCAAAATCTGAGAAACAAAGCAAAGGAGGCAAATCCAGACTTGAGGACGTAAGAATATCCAAACAGTTTTGTCAATATCAAAAGACAAGAATCAAAACATCTTTCATAATAAAAACAAATCCATATAATTATTACTTAGATGAAAGAACATGTTAGGGTATATGACATTTCTTTCCTCAACATAAATGTGCCTCTCTTCAATTTACTGCAAAACACCATCTTTCAGTTCCAATTTGAGGATATCATAGCCTGTATTGTTAGTGAATCTAACAATACCAGGAAGACCATTTTAAAATAACCCAAAGATCATTTTGTTTGCATTTGGTCATTGTTTTGACTCTCGTTTTTCTTTATTCATGAGACTAAGCCAATTGGGAAGTAAAAGTCCACAAGTCAAAGCCTATATAATGCAGCTGTTTCTGAAAAAAAAAAAAAAAAAAAAAAAAAAAAAAAAACCTGAAGATTAGCATAGTGTTTAGTATGTCATGAAAGCAGCAGTTGTGGTTAAACGGATAAAAATTACTGCAACCAACGTATGATAAAGTTATAAAGCAAATGTTCAAAGTGTTCTCTGGTGTATGTGCACTGTAGTAAAAGAAATCTGGGTAATGTTAGTAAAATGTGATTGATTATTAATAAATGACATCCCCAGCCAGCATAGGCTTCTGTTTTTAGAGCGGTGAATTTGTCCTCACACGTGGTGTCAGTCCCCCAGCTGTAGTTTTGATTTACTGAGAAATGACTTAATGGAGAAATGCAGGATTTAATCCCTGGTCTTCCCCTCGTTGCTGCCTTGTTTGACTGTCTTCGCTTTGAGATTGGGCACTCCGTGCCCAGGAATGCGGCATTGCAAATTGGCTAAAAATGTATCCCTTGGTAGGAGAATAATTTTAGTAAATTCGTGAGGAAGACGATATCTTCATTTAGAAAACAAAGCACTGTATTATAGTTTGACAGTTACGACGCAAGCCCCAGCTCTTCCTAGGCATAGTGGAGCAACCTAAAAACAAAAACAAAAACAATAACAAACACAAACACAAAAACAAAAAGACATATTTGTTGGGTGTGTAGGTACAACTGTTGATAAAACCACGTAGTTGGTAAAATATTGAAACAGGCTGTACTCATCAAAGAGCAGCTCCCAACTCTGCCGCCCCAGCCTTACTGTAGGGCCGGCCCATCCTCCAAGCCCCCTGTAGAAGTCCAAGTGTCACAGACTCAACTGTTTAGGGCACAGTACTAAGCAGTACTTCTTTTTAAAGGTACCTCCAAAAAAAGAAAAGATCGTTTGGGACTTACTCTATCTGAAACAATTTATTTGGCCAACAGGATGTGGGATATGGATAATGAGGAAACGCCCAACACTCCAGGACCCAAGTGGCGAAAATACCGCGTATTATCCAGAGAAGGCGTGTAATAGCTATGCTGTTTCAGAGCACACCAGAGTCGCTGTGTGCCTGGCTGCTTTTTCCCAGGGCACCAGTCATTGCACATTCACTGACTAACTTCTCTGTGCATGGCTGGACAATCTAAACCCACTCTCCTACTTCCTAGCACAGTAAATAAATAATAAATATACCTCCTCCAACTCCACCCTAGGAGTAGAAACAAACCTGGTGAATAAACTCTATGACAATGAGGTATAAGGACGGGTGCTAGGGAAAGAAACAGAATCTTAGTTTAGGGATAAGGAGTAATTCCTAAATCTTTCACTTACCCTTCCTCCCTCCTTCCCTCCCTCCCCTTCCTTCCTCCTTTCCTCCCTCCCTCCCTCCCTTTCTTCCTTTCCTTCTCTTTCCTTCCCCCCACCCTTCCTTTCCTTCTCCTTCCTTCCTTCCTCCCTTTCTTCCTTCTTTCCTTTCCTTCTCCTTCCTCCCTCTCTTTCTTCCTTCCTCCCCTCCCTTTCTTCCTTCCCTCCCTCCCTTTCTTCCTTCCCTTCTCCTTCCTTCCTCCCCCTCCCCTCTTTCCTTCCTCCCTCCTTCCCCCCTCTCTCTCCCTCTCTCCCTTTCTTTTTGAGCACTCTAGACACCAAGCAATTCAGAGTGCAAAACTACAAGTGTGGACAAGGATAGCTTTTAAAGGATTAATTTAAGCAGAGTAAGCCCTAAGACTTAAAATGACAGTATTTAGAGAAGGGGTGACTAATACAAAGTACTGAGAAAATTTGTACGTGTGTATGCGGGGGTATGTAATACAGTGTTATTGTCAAATACATGATATCAAAATGACTCCTTGGTCAGGTTGGCCTCTCTCCCAACCTTTCCAGACCAGTGACCGGATCTTAAAAATATACCAGACTTCAACTGAGACTTCTCAGTCGTTCTCTATCTGAATCAGGTGTTTTGATCCCTATTCTATCTCCTTGAACAATCAAATCACCCACTTTAAAACCATCTCTACTTAGAGTGTTCTAGGAGTAAACTCTAAGTCATTTCAATCAAAATGACTATTTGTAATGAGCAGCCTTTCTCCAAACACTGAAGACCTGAAGTCTTTACACTGTAAAGAGTTGATGTTCCCTAACAACCAGCTAGAAAGTTCAGCTTAGAGTATTTACTAAATACAATGGGCTCACTCCTGCTTTGGATCAAGGTGGACAGCAGGGTGGGTGATGGCTTCAGACTTTATAACCTCATTTCATTCCCTGGACAAATGTCCTCTTGCCCATTTGTTGGAACACTGAATGGAAAACATTTATTTTTCATATTCCAAAGTTGTAAGTTCAAATTCAGGTGCTTAAAAATAGTAATAGAGGGGACATGCAAACAAAATATCTATGTGGTCACAGGTAATTAATTTTGATAGTAATTCAGCATAAAGCATTAATTACCTGTAATAACAAGTTTCGAATACTGGCCAAAAAATTTCTTATAACTAGGCCTAAGTTTATAAATAAAATACACCTTAGAAAAAGAGATTCTTACATCTCTTTCTGTGCTCCTTGTTTATCATTCATGTTGCCACAGTGAGAGGCTAATGGTAGATAATCACATAATTTCTTTTTTTTAATTAATTTATTTTAGAGAAGGGGATGCAGAGGGAGATGAAGAGAGAGAAAAAATCTCAAGCAGACTTCCGGCCGATCATGGACTCTGACGTGGGGCTCATTCTCATGACCCAGAGATCATGACCAGAGCTCAAATCAAGAGTTGGATGCTTAATCCATTGAGCTACCTAGGCGCCCAAATCACATAATTTCTAGTGAAATTCTGCAGTACTGATTCAAGCTCTCAAATTATCTATACTTCTCTTCACCCAGTGACCACACTTAAATTGAAGAAACAAGATCAAGGTCAAGTCCCTTTTTTATAGTCTATCCTCTTCATTTAAAAATTCCCTGCCCCTTTCTACAATCATATTCTCATCTTCTTTCCCAGCCTTGGAAGAGATCTTTCCTCCAGTCTGCAGAGGACCAGTCTTTGCTTTCAATTCTGTATCTTGCCCTTCTTTCTTGCCCTTCAATGTTGCTCCTTCTAGCATCTGGAATCTCTACTCTCTTATTTTTACCTTTATTGTGAAAAAGACCTATGGCTCAAATTCTAACTGCCATTGATTTACTGTGTGGCTTGGGTCAACTATTTAACCTCTCTCTGTCTCAGATTCCTCATCCAATAGAGCCTGGTACATAAAATGTGTTCAATAAATGTTAACTTTCTATTATCATCATTTGAAAACTGTATGCTCCTCTAGCTCCTGCATTTACTTATTTTTCTCTCTACTTTTTACACTGTGAGTATCTTTTGCTTCTATCACATTCTCAAAGGTTCTTACAACTTCACGAATGATAAATTATCTTCATTCATCCTTATCTTGTTGAAAGCCTGTCTCCTCTCTCTAATGCTCTACCTCATTATCTTATCTAAGACACCCTCTGGTCATTCATTTGCTATTTTTCTTGAGAAGTTGAATCTTTAATTCAACCCTGCAAGTGTAGAAAGAAAGAACAGATAGGACTTGGTAATATCTCTTGAATCCATTTCTAGAGTTGACACCTCAAGCCTTAAAGTGAAGCAACCTTCTATATGTTTTATTTTTATTCAGCCTTTGCTTCCCTTGCCCCTAACCCAACTTATCCTGTCCCCAACCACCACATGAAATTTCTGTTACTGTATCACTCTCCTGGTTAAGTCTCCACCAGCTTCCCACTACCAAACTCTTGAAGCATGGCCTTTGCCAACTTCTATCCTGACCCCAACCTTGCCCTCCAATAAGAATGTTCACAACAGCCAAACTACAGAAAGAGCCTAGATGTCCATCAACAGATGAATGGATAGAGAAGATGTATATGTATACAATGGAATATTATAGAGCCATCAAAAATGAAATCTTGCCATTTGCAACAACGTGGATGGAACTAAAGGGTATTATGCTAAGTGAAATAAGTCAATCAGAGAAAGACAATTATCACATCTCCATATCATTCATATCACCACAGATATGTGGAATTTAAGAAACAAGGCAGAGGATCATAGGGGACAAGAGGAAAAAAATGAAGTAAGATGAAACCAGAGAGGGAGACAAACCATGAGAGACTCTTAATCACAGGAAACAAACTGAGGGTTGCTGGAGTGGAGAGGGGTGGAGGGATGGGGTAACTGGGTGATGGACACTGGGGAGGGTATGTGTTGTAATGAGCACTGGGTATTATATAAGAGTGATGAGTAACAGACCTGTGCCTCCAAAACAAATAATACATTATATGTTAATTAATTGAAATGAAATTAAAAAGGTGGGGGGGAAAGACGTCCTACTCTTACTAAGCATGGATCCTTAGAACCAGCCACGCTTTCTCAGTATATCTTGTGTATTTCTTCTTCACTGACATTTCTTTCATGTTTTCTCATACAATTTCCCATTTCTTTCTACATTTTGCATTGGATCAATTGAAAGCTTAGCTTAAGTCCAACTTCTTCTCAACAACTTCCAACTTCTCCAACTTCTAAAGCATTCTCAACAACCAATTTATTTTTTCTCTTTGATTTCCTACACCACTCAATGCCTACACCATGGGACACCTGCTACCAACTATTCTACATTGCGGGTTCTCCCCTTACACCCCCAGATTATACCTACTTAAGTCTTTAAGTTCTATGGCAGTGGGGATTCTTTTAAGTTTTGTTTTCTTGACAGTACTTACCATTGCTCCTTGTATGTAGAAAAACCTTGGGTCAATTAAACATCTGAGGGTCTTTCAGGTACCAGATTCTGAACTGGGGCACAAAATTCCTAATTCTGTTCTTGGTAATGATGGAAACAAAGATCTCAAAAGATCATTCTTAGAAGTACTAGCCCCTCCAGAAATAGACATGGCTGGAATTCCTTTTGTTAATAAGCTTGCCAGGTCAAGTTTCTTACTTGTTAATGTAATTTAAGGTTGCCATCTTTATTAGGTGATGACCAGACATTTCATTTGCTCCCAAATATCAGTGGCTTGAATATTTAAAAATTATACCTTATGTCTGCCTAAGTGGTTCACATTTTTCTGATTTCTATCTTTGTTTCTTATTTTCCACCATCTCCCCTCCCTCTGCCACAGCTCTCTTGTGGTTCTAACTGGCCTATCAATACTAGAACATCTCATCAGTTCCCAGTAAGCAAATGGTGGCAGATCAAAACTATTAGTAATTTCTCTGAGTATTAATTTATTCTTTAAAAATAATTTTGGATTTTAATTATATCATAAAATTAAACATTCCTTCTTGTTTTCATATATTTAATCAAAGAGATGACTTTATCATGTTATGCTATATATTTTGGTATTGACAAATGGAGATCATTTTTATTAAATGAATTGTTTTAATAAAAACAGAGAAGTGTAATAATGAAAAATGAAATGCCGGGGCGCCTGGGTGGCTCAGTGGGTTAAGCCGCTGCCTTCGGCTCGGGTCATGATCTCAGAGTCCTGGGATCGAGCCCCGCATCGGGCTCTCTGCTCGGCAGGGAGCCTGCTTCCTCCTCTCTCTCTGCCTGCCTCTCTCCCTCCTTGTGATCTCTCTGTCAAATAAATAAATAAAATCTTTAAAAAAAAAAAAAAAATGAAATGCCATACCTGGGTCCACTCATTTGTCTGGGGATCATAAGCCTCCACTGTATTAAGATAAGTCTGTCCATCATACCCTCCAACAGCATATAATTTATCACCAAGTAAACAGACTCCCACTGCGTCTCTGCTGATGCTCATAGATGCCACTGCAGTCCACATATCTGTTTTGGGATCATATCTGAAAGAAAATTTTAGAACTGGAGCTGACATTGTTCTCACAATATTTTTAAAAAATATTTTATTTATTTATTTGATAAAGAGACACAGCGAGAGGGGGAAAACAAGCAGAGGGAGTGGGAGAGGGAGAAGCAGTCTCCCTGCTGAGCAGGGAGCCCGATGTGGGGCTCAATCCCAGGACCCTGGGATCATGACCTGAGCAGAAGGCAGATGCCCAATCACTAAGCCACCCAGGCACCCCGTTCTCAGAATATTTTTATGTAAAAACAGTTTATGGATGAAAGACTAGCATGTTGGACCTGATACCATAGACCTTCTAGAAGAAAACATAGGGGGTAAGCTCCTTGACACTGGTCTTGGCAATGATTTTTTTGGATTTGACACCAAAAAGCAAAGGCAACAAAGGTAAAAATAAACAAATGGGAGCACATCAAACTAAAAACCTCTGCATAGTAAAGGAAACCATCAACAAAATGAAAAGGCAACCTATGGAATGGGAAAAATGTTTCCAAATCATATATCTGATAAGGGGTTAATATCTAGGAGATAAAAAGAATGTAAAAAAAAAAAAAAAAAACCCGGGGCACCTGGGTGGCTCAGTGGGTTAAAGCCTCTGCCTTCGGCTCAGGTCATGATCCCAGGATCCTGGGATCGAGCCCCACATTGGGCTCTCTGCTTGGCAGGGAGCCTGCTTCCCTCTCTCTCTCTCTGCCTGCCTCTCTGCCTACTTGTGATCTCTCTGTCAAATAAATAAAATATTAAAAACAAAACAAAACAAAAAAAAAAACCCAACAAATAAACCACTTAAAAATGGGCAGAGGGTCTCAATAGACATTTTCTAAAGAAGACATATAGATGGCTAATAGGTACACAAAAAGGTGCTTAACGTCACTAATCATCAGGGAAATGTAAATCAAAACCACAATGCCTGCTGAAAAGATAATAACAAGTGTTGGTGAGGATATGGAGAAAAGGGAACCCTTGTGTACTGTTGATGGGAATGTGAATTAGTGCCACTGCTACAGAAAACTATATGGATTCCCCCCCAAAATTAATAAGGGAACTACCATATGATCTAGTAATTCTACTTCTGGGTATTTATCCAAAGGAAATGAGAACACTAATTTGAAAAGACATATGTACCACCCATGTTCACTGCAGAATTATGTACAGTAGCCAAGGCATGGAAACAACCTAAGTGTTCATCAATGGCTGAACGGATAAAGAAAATGTGGTACATGTAGACTACACACATATGCATGCACACACTGAACATTATTTGGCCATAAAAAGAAATGAAATCTTGCCATTTTGACAACATGGATGGACCTTGCAGGCATGATGCCAAGTGAAATAAGCCAGAGAAAACAAAAACTATGGTCTCACTTATATGTGGATTCTAAAACAGAACAAAAACTAAGTTCATAGATTGGTGGTTGCCAGAGATGGGGCATGGAGGGGGTGGGTCAAATGGAGGAAGAGGGTCAAAAGGGACAAATTTCTAGTTATAAAATACATGAGTTATGGGGATGTCACGTACAGCATGGCGATGTAGTTAATGATACTGTACTGTATATTTGGAAGTTGCTAAGAGAGTAGATCTTTAAGGTTCTCATCATAAGAAAAAAATTGTAAGTATATATGGTGATGGATGTTAACTAGACTTACTGTGATCATTTCTCAATGTTTACAAATGTCAAATCATTATGTTATATACCTGAGAGTTGTATGTCGATTACACCTCAATAAAAGAATATCAACACATCCAGAAACACCTGGGAGAGGTGTATAGCAAAGTGGTTAGAGAATGGGCTTTGGATTTGGGCTGAAGAATCTCGAGTCCTTATCCTTCCAATCACTGGTTCTATGGTATTGTAAAGTTACTTAAAATCTTTACATCTTAGTCTCTTTATTGGTGAAAATATTGCTCCCAGGTAGCATTGAGGGTTAAATGAAAATGCACAGTAAGCATTTGATAAATGTTACCTTAAAGATAAGTTGGTTCATTTGTTACAACTTTTCCTATTAGTGAGGAATACATTCTTGTAACAAAAATTCAAAGATTACAAAAATATATAAAATATGCAATAACTAGCCTCATTTCCTTCCAACTTTAATTACAGAGTCAAGTGGTAACCCCTATTAACAGTTTGGTTTGTATTTGATCTTCTAAATATTTCACTTTTTATTCTTAGGGCTTGAGATGCCTATTTCAGAACATGATTTTTATTCAATTTAATTTTTCTTTCCATGTAAAACGTTAACATTTTTCTTTCAAGAAAATAAAAATGTTTTAGTTCTCTAAGCCTACCCTTTATCTTATCACTGCTATTTAAAGTACATTTGAACATATTTTAGAAAAAAAATCAGTATTTTCCTGAAAACTTTTAATTTACAATATTACAGATTCATTTGGTAAATCCATAACACTTAATGATCCAAAAGAGCTAAAGTAAATACTGAAAACTGCTGTAAGATTTTCGATTATCTACTGAAAATCTGAGGAAATCAATACATGAAGGGCTAGGTGAGATGACTGACAGACACAATCATGAAAGCTGTCCACTTTGGAGCCTTCTTGTTCTTTTCATGAAATATATTAATTAGAACAGCCCAGAGTTGTCTGTCTAAGAGCAGATACATCATGCTAAAATGCTAATACCTCTTGCACAATGAACAATTTTTCACTGGGTGCAGTACTGCGGTGAGCCTATAACTTATGGGGTAAAGTATACAAAGACTTCCATATTCCTTTCTTGGAGTGTAACACACAGGAAGCGTAGTCTGAATCACTTTCTCCCTAACACAGGGCAAAAGACTTTCCTGCTTTCTCAAAAGACAACAAACCAAACCTTATTATTTCACAGAAAGCACTCATTGTCATCAAGCTCACATTTCACTTTTTAACTTTCTTCCAATCATGTATGATTAAATAACACACACACACACACACACACACACTTACTTATCAACTTCCCATTGCTCTTTAAAATCCAGAATCCTTAAGATTCTATGTGATCTGCCGCCGTCTCCACCCTAGTCTGCCTCCTTTCCTGCCACTGTCTCCCTCCCTCTCTTTTCCCCCAGAAAGAGTGGCCTCCTTTCAGTTTTCTGAATGAATCGTATCCCCTTCTGCTTTGGAATGTTCATACATGCTCCATGGACTCTACCTCCTAAATCCACTCAATCCTCTCCATTCCTTGAACCAGACTAAAAATAACAGATGGAAGCCTGAACTGTTGTCCAAACTGTCCACTGATGTAATTAGGTTCTTTACCTGGCCCTATACGTGAGTTTCATGAGGCCAGTTTGGACGACTTGTGTAACTTTTAAGCCATACTAGTTTTTTAAAAATTTTATTATTTCATGGTATTTCCTTATATCAAAATGTGTTAGAAAGGCTCCTCTCCTTTTCACTTCTTCCTTAGCCTCCAGTCCCTACTACTTCTCTCTGAAATTCATCAAGCTCTTTTCCTTTTCTTGTCAGGTAGAGTATCCAATATGAAATATGTACACAATAAGTGTCATATGACTCAATTAATAAATTATGTAATCAATTCTAAGGTAAATCTTAAGTAGGCAGTAATATGGGGAGAGAAGAATCCGAGAAAAGCTGTTGGGAAAGAGACCAGGAGACAGCCAGAGCAGACGACCCAGTGTTCACAAAGCTGGGAAGAAACCGCCTTGCATGTGCTAGATGTTCAATAAGGAGTCAATGATTTGTCTGGAAGTGTCAGACAAAGTTTTCCTTCACAGGAAATTACCTCTCCACACAGTCTGAGAGTCTGGAAGTCAAGTTGGATGCAGGGGCATCGTGTCCTCCAATCGCATACAGCAATCCATTCCAGGTAGTTACTCCTACTCCCCCTCTCCTTTTTGACATTTGTGCACAGAGTGTCCATTTATTAGTGTGAGGATCAAAACATTCTACTGATTTGAGGCAAGAACTTCCATCACGACCACCAACTGCATAAAGTCTGTAAGAACAAATAGAATAATAAAAAAGATGAAGGCAAAGAGATTATTCTCATGGTATTTCATTGAAATTACGGTGCCATAGATTTTAAGACACACTCTCAGTTTATGTGCCATCAAGCAAGAAGATATGCTACCAATTATATGACATATGTATATATCATATGTAAATTACATATATGTATATGTCATATGTAAATGTGTTTATGTATATATACCAGCTATTACTCTGTATATACATAAAAAAAAAAGAACAAACTCACCTGAAAGCAATGACAACTATTTCTGATAAGTCAACACGGATTATAAGACACATCACAATTTTAGAGGCATAAGATGTGTCTTAGAATAGATAAAATGCAGTATATAAATATACCATGACTTCTTTCTTAAATAGCTAAGACAGGACTACATTATAAAGGAAAGAAATGAACCTTTTCTGTCCCTACCACAGGCTAGATATTTTACCTGTATTAACTTAATCATCTCAATAATGCTACGGGAAACCATTTATATTCCTGTTTCATGGGTGAAGAAACAGGCTCATGGAGATTAAGAGGCTTATACAGGGTCAGAAGCAGAACCAGGACACAGAGTAATGAGCAGCTGTACTGTGAGCAGTCACCTGGGATGTTCTTGCAGCAGTGAAATAGGAGAATAAAAGGATTGCTTGAAACAGTGATGTATAAATTAATATTTATTACATATGAACCGTGATCCTCTACTAATTTAAATTACTGCAGAGAAGGATACTGTAAGTTATCTAAAATGAATACGGTATGTTAATGTCCTAAATGTTGCCTAGCAGATAAATTTTAATTCATTACCCGTCAATATACTGCATTAATCTTAAAGTCTTTTACTCTGACCTTAAAATATATATAAAATATATTTTTATAATAGTTTTTTCAAGAGTAATAAATTCAGATCATTGCTTATACAGAAGTTCCCACATTTTGAATTTACAGATGCCTTAGTTAATATTTAACTAATTTTTTAGCTCAGGAAATAATATTTGAGCTATGCCAAAAATCTGCCAATTAAAACTTTTTGTTATTTTAACTTATTTTATAATGCTTCCTAATGCAAAATGTAATTGTTTTAGAGAAGAACTGTTTGAATGTTTTAGAGTTACATCTTGTATCTTGAAAATTTATTTATATTTATTTATATTTATATTTTTTATTTATATTTATATTTTATTTGTATTTCTATTTGGGTAAATATATATATTTTAAAGACATTTATTCATTTTAATTCATAATGTAAAGTTCACTCTACCACTCAAAGTGGTTCTTTAGTGAGAAGATGACCATATCTTAGACAGCAACATATCGGTGTGGCAATATCTTGTTTTAAACTTTGTATTAATAGTATGGAAACTGAAATTCATTTGAAACTTTGTTAAAATTTTTATTTGTCAAAAACTATTTTCTTGTGTTATTGTTCTTAAACTGTTCTCATTTTTAACTAATACTTGGTAGAATAATTGTTTGAATATGGATCACAGACTATCAGGAGACATCAAGAATTAGAAAACACCCATAATTTAAAAAACACGTACACGCATGCGTGCGTTATGTACACATGCATGCGTGCGTTATGTACGCACGCATGCGTGCGCACACACAAATTCAAGGCACTGTCCCCTCTTCAGAGTGAACTCATGGGTCTTGACTGTGAAAAGTGGTGCAGTACAGGGATTAAGAGGTGAACTATGGAGCTGGGCTCTGGATTTGAACTGTGGTTCTCACACTTACAAGCTCTGACTGTGGACAAGTTATTTAACCTCCACCTGCCTGAATGTCATCATTCAAAACATCTTTTAAGCCCTGCCTCGTAGGATTATTGATGACCAAATGTAAAATACTTTGAACAGTGCCTTACACAGGGTAAACATGGTCTAAGTGTTTCGGGGGAAAGAATGAATTCTGTCTCTATTTTTTCGGGGGAAAAATGAATTCTGTCTCTATATTCTTCTAGAAAATGTCAATTTTAGGTCTTAAGCGTACAAACAACATTAACACTGAGCTAATGTTAAGGGCTAACGTGTACCAATAACACTTCCTAAAGAAACATTATCTCAAGCAATGGTTTTCAAATTGTTTTCTAAGAATAGGATTCTGTGGAGTACTTGAGGAGATCCCCAAAATGGTGCATTTGAAATTCAAGTTTTGTTTTGTTTTTAGAGAGAGAGAGTGTGCACGTGCGTTTGCTCTCCTGTGCAAGTGGGGTGGCGGAGCGGGGGGCAGGCAGAGGGAGAGAGAGGATCTTGAGCAGGCTCTACACCCAGTGTGAGTCCCATGCAGGGCCCCCACCCACCACCCTGAGACCACAACTCAAACAGAAATCAAGAGGCCAAAACCCAACTGACTGAGCCACCCAGGTGACCCTGAAATCCAAGTTTTAATAATTTTCAAAATATCTGGCTCAATTAAATGCCATACAAGATTCAGAACTCATCTCTTTCCCCCATGACAGTAGCTATTACAAATAAAAAGAGAAACATTATGTCAAATTGTGATTGTGTCAAATTGCACTGTACTATAGACTTTAAAATAAGACTTCCTCATGCCTGACATTTAAAATTATGATCAAGAATGCAAGGGATTGGTGGATATTGAGATTTAACTTAGGAAAAAAAAAATTTCTAATACTCTCAAACTACATCAACAATTTAACTGAAAAGTTTCCTGAGAGTCCAATTAAATTGCTCTAGTAGTTAAAATAACTGTTATCTTCTCAGCTACTTATTTGTGAATCAGGATTTTTCTTTATACTGAACAACAAAAACAAAACATAGAAATAATCTAGTGTTCTTTAAAACAGACTTGTTCTTCTATCTCAATTTTTTATAATAAATACATGCTACAAATTTGAGCTTAAATTTAAGATAAGTCTATAATAATCTTGAGTTTCCATTTGTCTTAAGTATCAGGGTTTTTGTAAGGTTGCATTTGAGAGAGAGATTCTACTGTGAAAAATATTTGCCAGCCAGGGCCTTAAAAGTAGCCCAAGCAATTGGAATTCTAAAGTTTCTCTCAAACATGGTAGAAAGAAAAATTTTAACACTTTGAAATTTTCAAGATACAAGATGTAACTCATAAAACATTCAAACAGTTTTTCTCTAAGGAAACAATTATATTTTGCATTAGGAAGCATTATAAAATAAGTTAAAATAACAAAAACAATAGTTAATCTAGGCTTTTCATTTTATAGATTAAAAAACTCAGGCACAGGGAAATGATTTATTCTAAATCATAAAGGAGTAGAAAAGATGCATAGTTATTTTTTTTCAATCAACTGCATATTTAAAAAGAACATGATTTCTATTTTTTCATATTCTGGATATGTACCTCAAAATGGATAAAAACAAAATATTTTAAAATATTGCTACTTTGTTTTAAAGCACACTTAGAGGGGTGCCTGGGTGGCTCAGTCAGTTAAGCATCTGCCTTTGGCTCAGGTCATGATCCTGGGGTCCTGGGATTGAGTCCTATATTTGGGCTCCCTGTGCCTCAGGGAGCCTACTTCTCCCTCTGCCTGCTGCTCCACCTGCTTGTGCTCTCTCCCTCTCTCACTGACAAATAAATAAATCTTAAAAAAAAAAAAAAAAAAGCAAGCTTAGAAAAGTGTTAGTTGATACGTTAACACATCCTCTTCTTGGGGGTGATTACAAGCACCAGTGCATTTAATGGTACTGGAACATTCTTCAGTAAGATTGTACACTTCAGATTATGTTCCAGATACCATACTACGTATAAGAACGAAAAGACCAGGTCACTCAAGACCCTGATCTACATGGACTAGTAAATAGCAACAACAATAGAGTGGTTCCTGTTTTAACACAATCATATACAAATTATGCACAGTGAAAATGTTGAGGGTGGAAGGGACAGTTAGTGTAGGGGGCATTGAGGAGATGGGAATGGAAATGGAAAAGTGTTCCAGAGACTTCTGAGTGAGTTTTAAGGATGCTGAATTTTCCAGGCACAAAAATGGGGAAATAACACTCGAAGACAGAGGCAATGAGTTAAAACATTATGGGAGTCAAAATGTATTTTCCACAAATAAGTTAGTTTTTTTTTTTTTAAATATTTTATTTATTTATTTGACAGACAGAGATCACAAGTAGTCAGAGAGGCAGGCAGAGAGAGAGAGGAGGAAGCAGGCTCACCGCTGAGCGGAGAGCCCGATGCGGGGCTCGATCCCAGGACCCTGAGACCATGACCTGAGCCGAAGGCAGAGGCTTTAACCCACTGAGCCACCCAGGTGCCCCCAGGTTAGGTTTTTTAAATAAAACATTTTATTCATTTATTTGAGAGAGAGAGAGAGCACATGAGCAGGGGGAGAGGGAGGGGGAGAGGGAAAAACAGACTTCCCGCTGAGCAGGGAGCCCAACGTGGGGCTCGATCCCAGGACCCTGGGATCATGACCTGTGGTGAAAGCGGACACTTAACCAACTGAGCCACCCAGGTGCCCCACAAATAGGCTAGTTCTGCTGGAGTGTGATATGCACAGGGGAGTGGAGGGGAGGAGGGGAGGAGTGGAGATATGTGGACAGAGGTGAGACCATAAAGAAGGCTTAGTCCTGTAAGCTCCTGAAATTTCAAAATCAATGTCTTAATAGCTAGTAGATGAGAGATCTTCAGCTTCTGATCTGATTCTTTGATGGTCTCAGTGTCAATATCGAATAAATTGTACCTTAGATGAACTAAAGACTGAAATATTTATTTCTCATAAGAGAGCAAGAGAAAGGGGCGTCTGGGTGGCTCAGTGGGTTAAAGCCTCTGCCTTCAGCTCGGGTCATGGTCCCGGGGTCCTGGGATCGAGCCCCGCATCGGGCTCTCTGCTTGGCAGGGAGCCTGCTTCCTCCTCTCTCTGACTGCCTCTCTGCCTACTTGTGATTTCTGTCAGATAAATAAATAAAATCTTAAAAAAAAAAAAAAAGAGAGAGCAAGAGAGAGAAAGTGAGAAAGTAAATTATTTCCATGCCTCGAAGTTAAAGCTGCGGTAGGTCTAGAAATTAGATTTTACAGAAGGCAGTTATCCTTTTTGTGCTCTGAGAAACGTTTATTTCTAAGCTAGGAAATATGCCGGTGAGCAAGAATTAGATCAATGAACTACTCCCAAAAATTTTAACTGAAGGGTTAAAATGGAAAAGATACTGTTCATTTTCTCTCTTTTTTCTCATTTACTAGATTCTTTGGTGGCTGACTCTGCTAATTTTGAAGTTCTTTCTTCAGTTAAAACACATGAAGGGAGGGGTGTGGAGATCAGGTACATTTCAAAAAGTGGGTTTCTATTTCTCTATCTTATCACTTGTAATACTGCTAAAAACTAAGAAAACGTAGGACATAACTAATAGGTCCTGAGGAACCAAGACCTTAGGTCATAAAAATTTTTATAAATTTTCATAAAAATTTTACTAATATTTTCTCATTTTTTTCTTTTACCAATCAATCAATATAATTCTACAAATGATTTTAAGTTTCTTTTGATTCCTTCTCTTTTCTGTAAATGATGATAAAGCCTTTTGAGTGAGTAAAGGTATGTAACCAACAACATTTATTTAATAACCATATAGGGCTTCATTTTATGGAAGAAAGGCCTTTGATATGCATTTAAACTCTGAGTTACCAAGAGCTATTGGTGATGGTTCTGTCCAAATCCGTTAACTCCAGTTAGAGAAGACAAGAGTCAAGAGAGCACCTTTCTAAGTGCATTTCAGTTTTCAGCAGTTTACCAAGATAAGAAAGAAGTAAAAGTAAAGATAAGTCAGTAGATGAGATGGAAGGAATTATTTAGGAAAACACTTAGAGGGCATCTACTACATTTAAAACACTATATGCTTTTAAAGCTTTATAAACCTCCAGACTTGTACTCTATTGCATATTTATATAAAATTTCTCCATATAAAATAACTTGAAATTTATAATAATATATTATTATATATAGAATTATATATATGTATATATAACCAGTAATATTTTATATATATATGTAGATATATATATGTATATATAAAATCAGTATATTAGAATGAAAACCTAACATGGTGAGTTATTTATATTTACAATTACAATAAAAAGAGACTATTTTTAAAGTTTCCATCACTCTTAAAAGTTTTCCCCTTACGTGATTTTGTGTATTTTTTAATGTATATTTTTAACTTAGATGTATATCTCAATAAATTTGGCTTATTGTGTTTTAAATGGAATTTTAAATATTTCCTTACTTTCCACTTAGTACTGCCACACCTACTGTGCTCCTGGGGGTGGACATAGTGGCAACAAAATTCCACTGGCGAGCCTGAGGGTCCCATCTTTCTACTGTGTTCAGATAGCTCCAGCCATCATGTCCGCCTACAGCATACATGGGACCTTCCAATACAGCCACACCTGTAAGGAGACAGGAAAGAAACAATGACTTCAGGGGCACTTGGGTGGCTCAGTTGTTAGGCGTCTGCCTTTGGCTCAGGTCATGATCACAGGGTCCTGGGATCAGCCCTACATCAGGCTTCCAGCAGGAAGCCTTTTTCTCCCTCTCCCACTCCCCCTGCTTGTGTTCCTTCTCTTGCTCTCTCTCTGTCAAATAAATATATAAAATCTTTTAAAAAAGAAAAAAAGAAGCAACGACTTCAGATTTGCTGCTACATCTTAAAGATCGCATTTTAATTTAAATCTCAATATACAGTTTACCACCTACATTTTTATCTATGGTTTTATGGTTCAAGGTCTTATGTTCAATACTTTAACCCATTTTGAGTTTATTTTTGTGTTTGCTGTAGGATAAAAGTCCACTTTCATTCTTTTGCCTGTGACTGTCCAGTTTTCCCAACACCATTTATTGAAGACAGTCCTTTCCCCATTGTATGTTCCTGGCTCCTCTGTTGTAAATTAGTTGACCACATATGCATGGGTTTATTTCTGGACTCTCTATTTTGTTCCATCCATCTATGTGTCTGTTTTTAAGCCAACTACCATAATGTGTTACGTAGTATAGTTTGAAATCAGGGAGTTTGATGCCTCTAGCCTTGTCCTTCTTTCTCAAGTTTGCTTTGCTATTTTGTTTTGTTTTTATTTATTCATTTTTTTTGTGGCCTCATTCAAATTTTAGAATTATTTGTTCTTTTTCTTTGAAAAATGTCACTGGAATTTTGACAGGGAATGTACTGAATCGGTAGATTGCTTTGGGTAATACAATGAATCTTAAACATGCAAATTTAATTAAGGAAATATTTATGGTAAAGATACCTGATTTCTTTCTAGCTCTTCTTGCTTGGTAGGTTGGGGGGGAGTGAGGGGGCTAAGTAGCTCTACAGCTCTGGTCTAGTAAGTTTTAAAGGCAGTATCTTGAGGTCCAACAGTGGAAAGTTATTTAAAACCATATAATATGTACACATTGCCATAATAAAAAGCTTTTTCAGTAATTTTGAGAAATCATGTTTATTTCTTTCACTGTAGTTAGACTTTATACCACAGTCTATTGGTGTGATTCATCACCAGGGAACCAAGCCAGATTCATTTATTTCCTTATTCAACAAACATCTATGTAGTGTTTATTAAGTACCAAATGTTTAATAAAAGATAACAAATAAGGGCTCTACCATCATGGGCCTAATATTTTAGTCAGGAAACAGGCAAAATATATTTCAGGTATTGATAAATGCTAATAAGAAAAATGGAACTGAGTAGAAGGGTAGGAAGGGTCAGGGGAGACCTCTTGGACAAAGTGACATTTGGACAAAATGACATTTGAACAAAAATGTGGATGAAGTCAGACATGGAGATATCTGAGAGAAGAGAAGGTGAGATAAAGGGGATAGTATGTACAAACCACACATATACACCCACGTATATAGTTCCAAATATATAAAAAATATACCCAATTATCTGTGTATATGTGCATGGAATTAATTAAAGAGCTGGAAGAAAAATTAATGGATGCATCTAATTCAACTCCTTAAACAATATCTCTGAAAAAAAAATTTTAGCAGTAGAACCACTTCTACAAAATGAAATCTATTTAATTATGAAATCTTTACTTAATTATTTAAAATTTATTTAATTCTCACATTTTTAAAAGAGATAAAAGGAGTGTTTCCTGAAAAACAATCTGAGGGTTTTGAAGGGGCGGGGGGTGGGAGGTTGGGGGAACCAGCTGGTGGGTATTGGAGAGGGCACGGATTGCATGGAGCACTGGGTGTGGTGCAAAAACAATGAATATTGTTACGCTGAATAGAAATAAAATTAAATATATATATATATAAAAAATAAATACAAAAAAAAAGGAGTGTTTCCTATGTAAGAGTTTCTTTTTTAACTTTAGTTAGGTTTTTAAGTTCAAATTTTAACATTGATTTATTATCTGGTAAATAAGTAAATAAGAATGACAGAACAATCTGGAAAAAAGAACTACATGATCATTCCCCTTTGAATTTGCTTCAATAAAGCATTTTGTATGGTAACTAGAAGTAATGACAGTATTCTATGTACAATCTGATCTGCACAAAACATAACAGGATTATGGGCATTCTTATTCTACATACCATAAGAATTTACCTTAAGTTAAAATTAAATTTCTTTTCTCCACGGTGGGGGAAAGTATGCAGGTGAATCACACTATTGACCCTGGATTTTATGGTCAACCTGTTTTTAAGTCTCATTCATGCTGCTTTTAAGATATATTCCCATTCTGTGCCTAAGTAATAAGTTGACTTTACGGACTCAAGATTATTATCCTATAGTTTTGTTAGATCTCATATAGTTAATTTTAAGCTCCCCTTCTTAGTACTTTACCCCTAACCTTCTGGTTTTACTTCCTTACCAAGCTTGAAACTTAAGATCACCTTGAACTGAAACCTAATTGCAAATAGTAGAATCACTTGTTTCTCTGATTTTTTTGCTGTTCCCACTATCAGACCAATCTTCATGCCTAGATAATTTTCATTACTGGCTATTGACTTTTTTTGGCAGCTCTACTCTGGTGCTCAGCATTAATAAATTGAATGGAGTACAAGGCTATGCTATTGAAACTGAACTATGACTTCATTGCTACTCATCCATCTTTGAATTCATCTTTTATGATGACCTATCAAATTCTTTATTGCTACTAATTTAAACCTTTTCCAAATGGTGATACATTGACAATATGGCCACAAATTCTTCTCGCTGAATGCATGCCTGTTTTCAATGTGACTCTGCAGCTCCTCCCACCAAGAAGAGTTGTCCATCAATAGACGAATGGATAAAAAAGATGATATCTTTCACACACACACACACACACACACACACACACACACACACACAGGAATATTACATTGTAAAAATGATGACATCATGCCATTTGAGACAACATGAATGGATCTAGAGGATATTATGCTAAGTAAAATAAGGCAGACTGAGAAAGACAAATGCCATATGATTCCATTCATAGATGGCATCTAAGAAATGAATAAACACGGGTTCCTGGGTGGCTCAGTCGGTTAAACGTCTGCCTTCAGCTCAGGTCATGATGCCAGGGTCCTGGAATCGAGCTCTGTGTTGGGTTCCCTGCTTGGCAAGGAGCCTGCTTCTCCCCCTGCCTCCTGCTTGTGTTCTCTCACTCTCTCTCTATCTCAAATAAATAGAAATCTTTTAAAAAATAAAATAAAAATGAAAAAATAAATAAAGAACAGAATCAGAACTACAGATACAGAGAATAAACAGATGGTTGCCAGAGGGGAGAGAGATGGAGGGCTGGACAAAATGAGTGGAGAGGGAGATACAGGCTTCTAGCTAATGAGCAGGTCATGGGAAGAAGAGGCAGAGCCTTGAATATAGTCAATTATAATGAAATAGGGATGTACAACAGGACAGATGGTAATTATACTTGTGGTAAATATAGCATAATGTATAAACTTGTCAAATCACTAAGATGTACACCTGAAACCAATGTAACATTGTGCACCAACTAGACTTAAATATACACATGAATATAAACATAAATACATACATGCATATATATATATATAGGTAAGAAGAATAATCTTTTTCTCTCCTCTTTGAACCTGGGCTTGCCCATGGGACTTGTCGTGACCAATGCAACATTAGCAAACACGATGCAAGCAGAAGCTTGAAAAGTCTGTGCCCTGTGGCTTGCCGTCTCTTGCTGCTTTTGAAACCCTGTGACTGCCCCCATGTGAAGAAGCCTGCCTAGCCGGCTGAATGATGAGAGGCATGTGGCCCAACTGTCTCTGTTGCCCAGGCCAACAACCTGCCCACCACTACACATGTGAATGAGGCCATACGAGATCACCTAGCTGACCTGCCAGCCCACTGGAGATCCATGAGAAAACCCAGCAGAAATCATCCAAGGCAGCCTGGACCAGAAGAATGGTTCAGCGGACCCACAGATCCTTGGGCCGAATGAATGGTGGTTGTTTTAAATCTCTGAATTTCAGAGTATTTGTTACGCAGCAAAAGCTAGGGTGAAACAGATACATGTCAAGCCCCATCTCATTCTATTTCCAGCTGCTTCACGCTCATCGAATAATTCTACTTCACCTATTTTTTTCTCCTATCAAAAAAGATAGGTCCTGTGATATAGGACCCTAAATTATCTTGTCATCTCAGAGTGAGACATCAGTTCCTTCAGATAAAGACAGTGTCTTCTATGTCTTTGTAGACCCACAGAGCAAAGAGCACGGCACAGAGTATATGCTAATCAATGTCAGTTCAGTGAATTATTGAATGAAAGAATGAAAAATCTCTATCATTACATTCTCTGTGCCACCTCAGGATTTCTCTGGGTTTTTACCCACTTCTACTTAAAAACCAGGGGCTATTGATGAAAAACAATAATGCTAAAGATTTTTAAAGAAGCATTTCATTCAGGTTAGATTAACACTGATTGTCAACCCAGAACACATATTTAAAAAGGTGGCTTATCACTCCCTCATGCTACGATAAAATCCTGAAATATCCATGTTTTTACTTATGCTGGTTGCTGTTACATTTATGTATATGCTTGTTTGTCCAGATGCTGCTTTCAGGTTAAGGAGCATGTGAAGGAATGGTTGGTGACTGACTGCTCCTGACTCAGCTGCTATCCAGTAGTCTTCTGCCTGGTACAGAATGTAAACATGCTGTGGAAGCTTAATGTATGGTATCATGAACAAACCTGTATAGTTATACTCACCAAGGCCATGTCTGTGGGTGGACATAGGAGGCATTACACTCCACGTTTTTGTTTTGGGATTGTAACATTCTACAGTGTTCAAAGTCTTCAGTCCATCTCTTCCTCCAACCACGTACAGTTTGTCATCTAACACAGCGACACCAAACTGTAGCCTCCTCCCATTCATATTTGCTACAGGAGTCCACATATTTGTACGAAGATCATACTTCTCGATGCTTGTTGCTCCTTAACAGTAATGCATAGAAGTTATGTAAATAAAAACTTTACTGTGTTTGAGTATTTTATGAATTTATACATATAAAAGTATAATTTTATTAGCACTGACAATAATCCTTTCATTATACTTCAGTGAGCTCCTGCATGGCCAGGCCCCTGGTTCTATCTCTGACATCATCTCCTACTATTCTCTAGGGCATACATAAGGCTCTATATTAAAAGGTCAAGTGAGAAAGGATTATTTGTAACAGACAGAAATGGGAGGAAAAGCAGGGTAGATTAGTGTCTTGGAAGCCAAAATAAAAAAAAAATTTAGTAGGTAGCTTTAAAAAACAAGTTGGTGGCCGTCCCACAAATACAACTAGATAATTATAAAATCCTAAATCCCCCAGGAATGAATCTGAAGACTGGGAGAACAAACTCCACAACTAAAGGTAGGGAAGAGGCCACACTGAAGATGTAAGAAGTCTAGAAACACAGCTTGGGAGAGAAACAGATCATGGCCAATGCAGTGAGGAGGGAACCATGGTCTCAGAGAAGGGCAGGAGACAAACTAGCACACAGGAGAGTGCGTGGGGAAAATGAATTCCCTTAGCAATTGGCTTGGCAAGCGAGAGGGTCTGCATTTCCTGAGTTCTTGCAACCAGTGGGGCTTAAAGTCTGGAGTTTTAAAAATCAGCATGCTTTGCTCTTGGAGAGCTTGGAGGACACTGCAGCTGCTCCTGAAGATAACTGTGGACACACAGCATGGAAACAGTAATCTGAAGAGCATCTAGGCACACAGTGAGGAGGTTAGTTGCTATCAGAGCATGTCCCAGGGAGGCAGCATTCATGGAAACCCCTCTGGGAACAAAGGAACTGACAGGTATCATTTCCTTCCTCCTGCTCCTCGGCACAAGCACAAGACCAGCTGTAGGAACCAGTGCAGTGCTAACACTCACCACCTACCTTGCTTACACCAAGCCCTGTTCCCCCAAACTCCAGTGGAACTGTCCTTCCCAGTCACACTTGCCTTAGTCCCAGGACAGCAGGCCCCTTTCCCAGAAGACCAGCCCAAACCCCTGCCAGATGAGGAGTTTTGTGAGGTCTCAGTTCCCATGGTGGTGGTGGCAGGTCTCATTTCACAAGGAGACCAGAGTACATCTAGTTAAAAATGCACCACATTCAGGCCAGGGACCAAACACTGCCCACAACAAGCAAAGACAGCCCCTGCAGACAACTGGTCTGAAGGATAAAGTGGTCAGGTCACAATAGCAGAGCACACACAGCACACACTGGAGACACTCCTGGAAGCACCAGGCCCGAGGGAATAGGGGCCACTACACTATGCAGGGCACCATAAGACCTCTTCTTCATAGAGTCATTACCCTCAAGTCATTACAGGAGATATAGCTGGTTTTTCTAACATAGAAAAACAGGGAGACTTAGACAAAACATAGAGACTTAAACAAAATGAGAAGACAGAGGAATATGACCCAAAAGAAAGAACAGGACAAGGCCACAGCTGGAGAATCTAAGCAAAACAGATATAAATAACATGCCTAATGGAGAATTTAAAGCAATGATCATAAGGATTCTCACTGGAAAGGATACTCTTGAGAAAGGTGTGGAGGACATCAGTGAGACTGGGAATAAACTTAAGGGAACACAGTAATTCCATCAAACATAATTAACATTTGTATTATAGAAGTCCCAGAAGAAGGGACAGAAAGGTGGCAGATAACTTATTTGAAGAAATAATAGCTGAAAACCTCCCTAATCTGGGGAAAGAAACAGATATCCAGATCCAGAAACATAGAGACCCCCCAACAAAAGCAATCAAAGCAGATCCACACTAAAACATACTGTAATTAAAATGGCAGAATAGGGGCACCTGGGTGGCTTAGTAGGTTTGGCATCTACTTTCAGCTCAGGTCATGACCCCAGGGTCCTGGGATTGAGCCCCACATTGGGCTCCCTGCTCTGCGGGGAGACTGCTTCTCCCTCTTCCTCTGCCTGCCGCTCCCCCTGTTTGTGCTCTCTGTCAAATACAAAAATAAAATCTTTAAAAAATGGCAAAACATAGTGATAAAGAAAAGATATTAAAAGTAGAAAGACAAAAAACGGTTACATACAAAGAAACACCATAAGGATAGCAGCAGATTTTTCAGTAGAAACTTACACCACCAGAAAGGAGTGGCATGACATATTCAAAGTGCCGAATGGGGAAAAATCTGCAACCAACAATACTCTATCCAGCAAGGCTATCATACAGAATAGAAAGAGAGATAAAGAGTTTCCTAGACAAAAAAAACCTAAAGTAGTTCATGACCATTAAACTCAGCCCTGTGAGAAGTCTTTAAAGGAGAGTATTTGGTAGAAAAGAATGACCAAAACACAATATGAAGGTAGGAAACACAAAAGCGGGAAAAAGAATATTTCTATAAAAAGTCAGTCAAGGAACTCACAAAATAAAAGGATGTAAAATAGGACACCATATGCCTAAAATGTGGGGAGGAGAGAAGAAAACAATGGGTTCAAACTTAAATGACCATTAGCTTAATACAGACTGCTGTATCCAGAAAAGGTTATATATAAACCTAATGGTAACCAAAACAAAACAAATCAAAACAAAAAAACATGAATAAATATGCAAAAAATAAAGAGAAAGAAATCCAAATATATCACTAAAGAAAACCAGTAAATCATGAAAGAGAAAAAGACAAGAAGTGTTCATAGAAAATCTTTAGAAATGATCATAAAACAAGTATTAAAATAGCAGTAAATACATATCTATCAATTATTACTTTGAATGTAAATGGACTAAATCAAAAGACAATCAAAAGACATAGTATGACAGAATGGATAAAAAAAAATAGATCCATCTGTATGCTGCCTACCAGAGACTCACTTTTGACCTAAAGACACCTGCAGATTAAAAGTGAGGGGATGGGGAAACATTTATCATGCAAATGGATGTCTAATAAAGCTGGAGCAGCAATACTTATATCAGAAAAAACAGACTTTAAAACAAAGATTATAAGAAGAGACAAAGAATGACACTATATAACAATAAAGGGGACAATCCAACAAAAAAATATAACAATTGTAAATATTTATGCACACAACTTGGGAGTACCTAAATATATCAAACAATTAATAACAAACATAAAAGACCTAACTGATAATAATACAATAATAGAGGGAACTTTGATACCTCACTTATATCAATGGACAGATCATCTGAACAGAAAATGAACAAGGAAACAATGGCTTTGGATGACATACTGGACTAAATGGATTTAACAGTTATACTTGGAACATTTCATCCTAAAACAATAGAATATATATTCTTTTCAAGTGCACATGGAACAGTCTCCAGAATAGATCACATGTTAGGCCATAAAACAAGTCTCAAAAATTTAAAAAGATTGAAGTCATACCATAAATCTTTTCTGACCACAATACTTTGAAACTAGAAGTCAATCACAAGAGAAAAAATCTGGAAAGACCAAAAATACATGGAGGTTAAATATCATGCTAACTAAACAATGAATGGGTCAACTAGGAAATAAAAGAAGAAATTTAAAAAACATGGAAACAAACGAAAATGAAAACACAATGATTTAAAACTCTGGGACACAGCAAAAGTGATTCTAAGAGGGTAGTGTAGAGCAATGTAAGCCTATAAGAAAAATCTCAAATAAACACCTAACCTTACACTGAAAGAAGCTAGGAAAAGAACAACAAAGAAAACCTAAAATCAGCAGAAGGAAGGAAATAATAAAGATTAGCACAGAAATAAATGATATAGAAACTAAAAAAAAAAAAGAAGAAGAAGAAGAAATCAATAAAACCAGGAGCTTGTTCTTTGGAGAAAAAAAATAAAATAAAATTGACAACTCTCTAGCTAGACTTACCAAATAGAAAAGAGAGAGGACCCAAATAAGTAAAGTCACAAATAAGAATGTTGAAATAGGGCGCCTGGGTGGCTCAGTGGGTTAAGCCGCTGCCTTAGGCTCAGGTCATGATCTCAGGGTCCTGGGATCAAGTCCTGCATCGGGCTCTCTGCTCAGCGGGGAGCCTGCTTCCCTTCCTCTCTCTCTGCCTGCTTCTCTGCCTACTTGTGATCTCTGTCTGTCAAATAAATAAATAAAATCTTTTAAAAAAATGTTGAAATAGCAACCAACACCACAGAAATATAAGCAATTTTAAGAGAATATTATGAAAAACTATATAGGAAAAAAATTGGACAACCTAGAAGAAATGGATAAATTCCTAGAAACATATAAACCACCAAAACTGTAACAGGAAGAAATAGAAAATTTGAACAGACTGATAACCAGCAGAGAAACTGAATCAGCAAAGAACTCCTAACAAATGAAAGTCCTGGACCAGATGGCTTCATGGGAGAATTCTACCAAACATTTAAAGCAGAGTTAATACCTATTTTCTCAAACTATTCAAAGAAATAGAAAAACAAGGAAAACTTCCAAATCTATTCTATGAGGCCAGCATTCTCCTGATACCAAAAGCAGATAAAAGCCACCACCACCGCACATACACAAAAAAAAATCATCAATATCCCTGATGAAGATAGATGCAAAAATTCTCAACAAAATACTAGCAAATTGAATCCAACAATACATTAAAAAAATCATTCACCATGATCAAGTGGGATCTATTCCTGGGTTGTAAGGGCAGTTCAGTAGTCTCAGATCAACCAACACGATACACTGCATCAGTAAGAGAAAGGATAAGAACCATATGCTCATTTCTTTTCTTTTCTTTCTTTCTTTTTTAGAGAGAGAGAGAGATCATGTGCATGAGTGAGTAGGGGACGAGGGAGAGAGAGGGAGGGAGAGAATCTCAAGTAGGCTTCATGTACAGAGTGCAGCCTGATGTACAGCTCAATGAGACCATGACCTGAGCCAAATCAAGAGTCAGACACTTAACTGACTGAGCCACCCAGATGGCCCATGATCACTTCAACTGACATAGAGTATCGATTCCATTTACGATAGCACCAA